CAATGAAATCTGCAAGGACGTGGAAGTGGCAGGGAGAGGCAGATGGCTTCTGTCGGGGGCATGACTTGTGCTTGCTCAGGTTTGGGCAAGACACAAGTGTTTTATTTTTTAATTATATTTATTTTGTACTTGGATACCTGCAAGAAAACCACCACTAGAATCTCTGAGGGTGCTACTGGTTCTTTGGGAGGGTGGGGTGGAAAAAGTGTTGTTTTCCTGAAATTGCAGCTCTTTCCTGCTGCAAACTACATGGGGAAGAAAGCTCAAGAGTAAAGTGGATTATATCTGCCTCTTCTCGTGCCTAGACAAGGAGTGAAGCACAGCCTGCTGGAATTGGAACGAGTTGTGAACAGTGCCAGGTCAGGTAGGCAGGGGGATTATATTGAAACGTTCAATTGCCAGATGCTGACAAGGATATTTGAGTTAAGAAAGAAAAAGGGAACAAAATAGAGAGGAAGGAGGTTTGACCAGGATCCGTGGTGCAGAGATGAGCCATAAGACTGTGAATGAAATGAAGGGCCCGAGAAATGACAGTTAGAGAGAGTGGAGAGCAGAAATAGATGGAATAAATTAAGGGGGAAAGCCTCTGTGCCTGACGGGGTATATTGCTGGGAATGAAACCCAAGATCCCCAACTCGGTATTTCCCTGCTGCCAACAAACATCCACAAAAATGTTTCTGTAATGCTGGGGCTCCGGGAGGATGGTAACCAATTATTATAACTATTCTTTTATCTCTGCGCTGAACTTTTGTTTGCTCGCTAGCCTGTAGGGTTGGGGCAGGAGGGCTGGAGACTGTGCTGAAAGACGGCAATAAAGAACGTAGCACCACACTGACAGGAAGTTTCAAAATTCAGGTTGCCCATGGGATCTGAACTTGCTCTCTTCCCTTTTAGAGGTAAGTATAAAGACACAAATCTTTGCTAGGCACATCTTTTCCCCACAGGATCGGCTTACTTCCAAAGTAAACCAAACTGCATTTCTTTGACAAGCAGATTTTCAGTACTTTGTCTCATAATTCTCCATGTGGCTCCATGCCTCATTGGCTGCTCATTGATGAATTCTCATTTTGAATAATGAATTAGCAACTCCTTATTATTTATGGTGTTCATCACTGGAATACGCACGTATGGACAGATTCACAAAAGTAACAGCTTTCAGTCATGTAGCGAATCTTTAAATTTTTCATTTATTACTTTGAAAGAAAAGCTTCATTTCCCAGGTAGCTTCTGTAAAATACATACCCTCATGGGTACAAATTTACAATCCAAAGATTTGAGAACGAGAACACTCAGAACTCATTTATCTGGATTTCTATTTTTAAGAAGTCATAAGAGGGAACAGGATTCCAGGAAAAATATTTAGTACAAATAAAAACAGGGAGACCATTATTGCCTCATAGGACCTGGAGAGCGAAAAGACAAGACAGGCAAAACAATACGTGTGGAAAGAGAGGCAGAGAAAGATAAAGCTATTAGCAAAAGTGGGGCTTGGACTAGAACTAAGTCCCACTCCAGCATCTATCCACTCATCCACTCCCACAGATTTCTTCTCTAACAGCTCTCACCAACAGATCTCAAGAGCTTTTAAGACTAACATTAAGAAAAATTGAGGCTTATGCCCTACACAGGGAGCTGTATTATCCCCAATTTACAAAAGAGGGAAACTGAGCCATGAAGCAACCTCATCTCTTCTCTCACCTAAGCAGATGGCGGGCACTGAAGGTGGAGTTGTTCCTTCGTTTCCTCACCAGAAAAGCAATCACCTTACATTTTGCTAGAATAGAATATTAAAAGTCCGTGGTAATTTTTGTTCTCAGATGCTACATTTCTATGGAAACATACCTTTTTAAGGTAACATAAAAATGCTGACTGCTTTTAAAAACTCCATTTTACTTACCTGCCTTTTACTGCCATAACTGTTTCTATGGAAACTGGAACTGGCCATGAAGCAGTCCTACAACATGAATTCTCACTTGTCAGTTTTACATTAAAGTGCCACCTTCAAAGTCCTTTAATAAACCAGTAATAATTGTGTTGCCTAACAAGTTTTCAAATTAAACAAAACAAGAAAGCATGCTTTCACTGAATGCACAATATTTTGGAGGTGTGGTCTAAGTCTAAGAATTTTAACAGTGTGCATGATACGACTCTCTTGGTTAAGGATATGATCTTGAAACAGAGAGACAGTTTATTAGCAGTAAAAGCCCTAGTGTGTGTAGTTAGACTTACATAAAGGTGACTTATACCAATATGGGTATGTCTAGACTGCTGTCACAGAAGCATACTGTAGAGATACTGAGTAAATGGGTAAATCAACCTACAGTGAGCTCTGTGCTCCCACAGCTAGCTGGGGTACTTCTGTGCAGGCATATGCATATGGTATTCCCTGTAGGTACAAGAGGGAATGCACTCAGAGTAAGTGTTAGTCCGTGTTGGGTGGCTACCGTGGAAAAAATAAAGCATGCAAGCTTAAGGCACAACTATTCCATACAGTTATTCAGAATTAGAATCTGTGTAACTTAAATCTAGGCTCCTCCATTAGTTTTACTTTAACCTCTCACTCTTGCAAAAACTGTAGGCTCTCCTGTGTTCGTTCATATTTCCCTGAGTTAACTCAAGTGAGAAAAATCCCTTTTTCCTGTGCTTGGAGAGCAATCTCCAACAGAATGCACCCCCAATCACAAGAGTCCAGCATCGCCAGTAAGGACCAGCTTTAAAACTTCCAAGGGCAGGTTCTTTCCAGAGTCACTTATCTGTCTTTCCTGAGATGAATTCTTCCCACCTCATCTCTGACACTTCACAGTTGATCAGTGCTTTTAAATTGCAACAGGGGCAGAACAGAGAGGGAAGATACTTTGTGTCTGCATCAACCTCCAATGCATAGAAAATAGGTGGCCAGAGGTTTTAGGCAGACTTTACACACAGAAACGCATCTAAAACACAGAAAGTGCAGCATCAAAGTTGGAGGCGACAGAACACATTAGATGCTGCGTGTATGACTATAGAAGCTGCAGAGGACAAAGATGTAATCCTATTTTGGTACGAACTTACTTTAAAGAGACCCTAAAGAGCAATACGATCTCCAGACTATCTTTTCCTCCAAGATTCAGCTGTGCAGTGCTCCTCCCAAAACTCACCCAGCCCACACACTTGGCTGACACCCTCAGGAGAACCACAGTCTTTCTCTCTTCTAACCTAAGAGAGGAGATCACCTTTCCCACTGAGCTAGCAGAGTTCTTTTAACCCTTTCCCAGTAAAATCATATTCTGCTAATATAGAACTTTTCAAGAAAATGGCCAAGTCAGTCTCTTAAATTAGATGCCATGCTCTTCCATATGGTCCAAAACACCACATACTTTCCTTAAAATATCCTCAAACTCATGCCAAGTAGGTGACTTCTCCATAATCAAGCAGTAACATATGGTTAACTCCTGAAGTAAGTCTGAATTTAGGAATCGATACTCCAAACTACTTCTTCCATAGATAGCCTTTGTTTTTAAGCATCACTTCAAACTGATCAGTAATCACAGCAGGAATCTGAGAAGCAAATCTCCCCTGTGGCCAACCAGACCTTTTTGTGGGCATAAATTAAAATTGCAATTCCCCTCAGTACCACTTCACTCAGAATCTGGACTTCTTTCCCTGCTTTCCAGAGATGTTTGGGGGGGGGGCTGGGGGGAGAGACGACTTTTACAATTCTTTCTTCATCTTCTTCCTTCTTCCTGCACAGGTACATCCTTTCAGCACCTGTTCAGGCCCATATTAAGATCTGACTAGAAGGTATCCAATTCAGAGCAACAACACTAGGAGTAGGGCAGCCTGCAGGGAAACCAACTATTGAGCCCTGCAACAAGTAAGGAATTTACAGCAAAAGAATGATTCATACATAGTCTTCCACTATGGACAAACGCACCATCTCTTTAAGGCCAGAGTTTTTGACAAGCCTCTGAATGCAAATGCCAAATATTTTGTCATGCCTTTCTCTTAGCCTATATCTCACTGCAGCCGGGGCTTGGAATGAGGCATGTAATATAACAACAAACCAGAGGCCTGGCACACATGGGGCTACTCACTGGCTTTCCTCATGCATACGGTTTATTTTTCCCTGCTGTATCAATCCTTATAGGGCTTTACCACCACATCTGCCTCCCGGGAGTCTGCTATTTCAACTGTTACAGGGAAGGTGCAGAGGAAAGAGGAAGGGTACATTCAACCCTTTCTACTCTTTTCCAGTTAAAGGTCTCACCTCCACACCATTAATTAAACAGATTAATTAAACAGACAAGCCCCTGCAGCAGCAAGTCCTCTCTAAGGATAAATACTGAACAGCTCCGGGCTTTGAACTGTGGCACATAACAAGAGTTCTGATTATTCCAGATAAAACGTCTTGCACGGTAACCTTCTTTAGGCCAATGTTATTTCATCAATGTCTTGCGTTCCTCTGCAAGCACCGATATGGATAGTATTTTTCCCCAGAGGTGACAAGGAATAGAAGACACAAAAGGCAACAGGGACATGAAGATTACAGTGGGTCTTGCTAGCATTCATATTTTCTTTTCCAAAGCATCTGATTTATGGTTTACCATTTATGACGTAGGAAGCAATTTAAAAATAAACAGCAAAACAGTGGCTGATTTTGAGAATTCTGGTCTGAACAGAATCTGCAACAACATGCATCACTAGCGCACACGGTAGCCAGGGGAATCCAGACATGCTTGATAAGCAGTGGGCAAGGTTGCAGGATGGGGAAGGGATGCAGGATCCCATTCCTGAATATTACTTTTCAGAGAAAGATGAGGACTGCTTTAGTAGTGGGAAAACTGTGCACATTCAGTAATACATATTTACAGGCATGGGTACACCAACACTGCCAGGAAGGACAGGCAAATCTTTTGATTGTTTGCTTGCATGTCCTTTCTCTAGCTATTATGAAGTATACATAAAAAGAAAGATCCACAGCTATTACCATATGGAAAGATCACAGGATCATTCTTTAAGCCAGAAAAACGAGTCCTGACATGACCACTGCTGTAAACAGCGCTCTTCAGCAGTGACTTTTCTTTAGGGCTCACTGGATGTAAATGTGAGAACGGCCATGTCACATCTTACTGCAGGGAAAGAGCCCAACTTCTTTATCAGCTCCCTTGCTGTATTAGGATGTCCAGAATCAGTTTGATGCAACTTTCACTAGGAATAGCGAGGAAGTCAGCAAGAACATTAAAACAACTATTTGAACAATTTCTCTAGAGCTGGACCAAAACAACATTTGGAGAATCAGAATGCTCTTTTTTTCCCCCATGTAGATCAGACCAGATAATAGCAGCTTTACAGGGTCACTCAACCTCTCCTTCTTCCCTCCTTTATCCTGAATGGACCAGAATGAATGTATCTTATCTTCTCTCTTTAAAACGCCATATAATATCCTTCCATAGTGCTGACAACATCACTGTTACTCTCCAGCAGTTCCAAGACACGGTGCATCACCACTTCAGCCAGAGAGGGGTTGTAGCTCTGCCGAACACAGCTCAGGACATGAAGGAAATGGCAGCCTTTTTCAGCATCTGCAGAAAAAAAGGAAAATGCAGCCAGGCATGGAGGAAAGACTTGGTCTAACTGCCTCTTTCTAACTATTATAATCCAGATTAGTCATGAAAAAACCACAGCTATCAGAGAGGAAGAATGCCCTAGGTACTAAAGCATGGATGCATGTATTCAGAGGGAAGAGATCCAGTCTGTGCCTACAGTTCTCCAATTACCAACTGTTTCCACTGACTTTTCTGGAAGTGTCAGGGTTGTAACACTAGTAATGAAGGTGAAAGATAATCAGTCTTGCAACCTCTAATATACAGGGCTCATCCAGTACAACCTGATGATGAGGTTAATAACTTAAGGGTACCTCCACTGTCCACCTATACAAGCCATCCAGTTTCTGCAAATGCAGAAGAAACCAAATGAAAATCCTTTTGCTCATACCCAACTTCAAAAACGTCTAGAACAGAAGGAAGGTCCGTGGCCAGGACTTGTAACTGCTTGCCCAATGCTGGCATCTTGTGGAAAAACTGCTACAGTGCAACTTTCATTCACCTAGCAATGCAATCCCATCCCTGCACTTCAGACTACTCAGACAATTACGGGAGTAGAAAGTCACAGAACTTCAGTATCAAATTTTATCTCGTTTAAGAGGAATGAACCCTGAAAATGTACAAGAGAACAGAAATGTAAAAATAATCCCCTTTCCTAGAAGGCAAGCCAGAGATAAAGGTTCTTAACGGCTGCAGTATTGCATGCAGCTACTGTGTGCCTGGTGGAGCCATCATTTGGGGCCCAGCTGTCCCAGTCAACATTTCCTCCAACAGACCCTGTAAACTCACTAATCATCAGTGCTGCAGGCTCCCAGTCTCCCCAAGCATTGAACTTCATAACAGATTTCTTTCTCCTCTGGGGCTAACAATGGAAAACTAGCATAAACGAGACATCAGCACAAACAACTTTCCTCCTCCTCAGCTCACGTGATGTTAAGGTAAGTTTGATAAGGGTACTGAGAAATTGCCATGGGCCAGGGAGGTCCCTGTATTTTGTTGTTGCTGCCTTTGTTTTTATTTTTGCCAATCTCTACTCTAGAATCAGCTGAGCCCCAGAACTGCCTTAGAAGCTGCTGAGAAAAGTCACTGGTAGATAGGAGGCAATGCTAAGTACTGGTAAATAAACAGTTCAGCCTAATTCCTATTAGGCTGTGAATCAGGCAAAGATATTTCTTTACAAGTCAGTGATCCAGCATGGCAAAAGACCTTTGTGGCTGGTAGCCAAAAATGCATCGACCACCCTAGAACAATGCCTCTACCTGGTCATAGTGACTGTTGTTGCAAACAAAGTGGGTAGCTGCATGCTGCATTAGTCATAGGTTTGTCATAAGAGGGTCAAAGTGCCCATCCCTGATCTACAGTAACTTAGGTTATGTCTCAATGAATTAGATTAGTGACTCAAGTGTTACCCAACAGTACAATACATACTTTCCTCCTAGATGCTGGTAGAAAATGGCATTTTGGGGTAGCTGCAGGTGTGTATAATCATTAAGTAACCCAGAAACACTCCTAGTCTATGGCCCAACTTTGAGGGAATACATTCTTTGCAGTGGAGTGATGCTGTCCCTCTTTCATTGACATACTGGCTTCCAGCTTTTGTCCACCAGCTGAGGTAAGACATGCTGTGATTAACTGTCTCACCTGACTACCAGTATCACGGAGGACAGAGTTATAGAACAGTTACCATTTGCCCACTGTGGACATCTCACACAGGGTCCATATTAAATTTAACTTCAAGTGGTTCTGGTTTTTTTCATCTCTACTATTACCCTTATCTAAGCCTAAAACCAGAGCAAATAAAAAAAACCCAACCAAACAAACCCAAAAGAAACAAATCTGGACTAAGTCTACTATTTTGCAGTTCAGTCTGGAGTCAAAATGTACTGTCACCCTTTTCTGGCTATCTTGAGCCTCTAGATAGACCCACAGTGGCCTCACATGAAGGCATTTAAGATCAGGCTGTTTAGAATTACAGTTAGAGCCAAGGACTAGGATTGTCATGTAGACATATTACAGATCAGGGTTTGTGGAGCTCTGACTAGGCACGCTGAGGATTTTTTTATTTGTACAATAGTTCCAGGCAGCTGGGTTGGGCCTGATAATGTGTCACAACTAAAGCAATGGGGTGAGGCATTGCCTTGAAAACTGGCAGAGAAGTAACTCATTGGAGAGAAGAGTTTGGTTTATCATAAATCAGTCTTCCTGTCATGGAAGATTAATATTACTCTTGAAGGAAAACAGGTAGGAATTTCTTGCAACAAACAAGCAAAAGCTCTTGAGGTATTACCATGTTCTTATTTTCTTGCTACGAGCCTGCTCACTAGTCAAGGCCAAGTGGGTGGCTAAGACTGCCATCCCACCAGCAGAGGGGGTCCGACAGTTACATTAGGCTCTGCGCTCTTGCATCGAGTGACAATAAAATATCTGCAGTACCGTGTTGATTTTGATTGAAGCTTCTTGGCTTTCCTTCTCAAAATCTTCTGTTACCAGTGACCAGAACATTGAAATGGTCCTTCTGAAAACTAGCAGAGAGACACTGACCTGGAAATTGTCCTCTTTAATTAAAGAAATTAAATAGGTGGAAAGCTTCAAGGAGAACAAGAGGCTCTGTAAAGCAGTTGCTATTTTTAACCTGCTCAGTATGGAAAACATGGCTTTGAGGACTCAGGACTCTTCAAAGTCTTTTCTGTGACTGATCTACAAGTTTCTCTCTGCTGTTGACTCCTCCTGACTGGGAGAAAGAACTTCCCAACATCTCATGGAGCGCTGAGTACTTTACCACTGTGATAATGCACAAGAGGGGAATTAAACACCAGGCAGTTGCTCAGTGCCCTGTGTCAACTGTATACAGGTTCTGGCCTTTATAGTGGCACAATTATACAAAAAAAAAAACGGGTTCCCAGGAGAACTAGCTGATGTATAAAATGGGCAGAGGAATGATTTGACTCTTACAGAGATGTTTGTATATGTTAATTGGGTAAAAAACAATAAAACAATGTGATATGGTAACTTGTTGCACTGAAACAGCCTCAGGCAAATGAGCCCATCTTCACCTGCATGCCCACTAACATCTGCTCCCTCCATCCCTCAAAGATACAGAACTTTTACCTCCACCTACAAACCTTGTCTGCAATTGTACCACTGCTTAAGGTAGCCAGTTGGAAACTCAAAAATAATACTACTTCACTTAGCCTTTTTTCACTGCAGGATAACCATCATATACCAGGTTCTACGAGCATTGTTAGACTTATGATAGTGTAAGGATATGAGCAATTTAAGATTATACGCCTTATGTTCTAGTCAGTCATTTATTCTGTACTAAAGTGCATTCTACCCCACAAATAGCTGCACTCCAGCAGCAAGTGATCCCTGCTGACACATTCTGCCCAATGAATTGAAACTCTGTAGCAATGTACCTGTGTAATTAGCAGACATTCAAGTCAAGCACAAGCTATCGCTATGGCAATAAGACACAATAGGCTTGAGGAACAGGGATAACTCAGAAGCTACAGGAGCTACATTCTCTGAAAAGAAGTGGATTTTGTTAGACTGAAATCTCTACCTGCAAAGAACAACCACATGAGCTCTACCTGAGCTTAAAATCTACAGAGAATATCCTACTGACTTAAGTAAGTTTTATTGTTGACTTAATGGAGGCAGGGATTTCACCTTTCTGTACGGTCACTTTTGAGTCAACTCCCCTGTAGAAACTGAACTAGCAAGATTTGCTACTTATCCAGAGTGCAGAGCAACAGCTGCTAGGTGCTGACCTAACTTTGCTACATTTGGATCCTCCCAAAATCTAAATATTCTCAAAAGATACAGACCTAAGAAAATGGCTGCTTATTTCAGACCTGAGAGGTTTGCTTCCTGCTGGGCATACCTGCCCTTTCTCTCTCCACGCTCACAGGAAGCTGCTCTTGCACTCCTGCTTTTCGCTATACTGTAGCTACACCAGCAACTTAGCTCTGAGTTCAAGGGGAAGGACAAGAAGCATATCTAATCCAGCAGCAGGAGGAGATATTGCCACCAATATATCAACACCAGCTCATCAGAGCCCTGATCACACTGCTACTTACGCTTGGGTTTTCGACAGTCTTCTTTAATCACATCAAGGGTCACTTTAAGCAGCTCCTTATCATGGTCAGTCACCTGGAGAAAACAGAAGAAACTGGCAATTTATAGCAGTCTATTTCACAGTAGATGGCATGGCTGTTGAAAAGCAATCCAAGGCCATGATGTATTCTAAACTAACACTGTCATACCTACAGTCTGCATTATATACTGCCTCTGAGACTAATAATGAATGTTAAATCTTCAGTTATTATTTTTAGTACCATTGGCAGCATCCATGAGTTAGGTGAAGAACATGATATACTAGAATTCAACCCAAAGGAGCATGACCGACTCAGTAGAACACCAAATTTCAACCCACTTCAATAAAGAGAAGTGTCCCAGGTCCCAGGCTTCAGTGTACTCAGCTGCATCAGCGCACAGTTTGGCAACTCAGTGAACACAGACTGCGCTTGGAACAGCAGCAGTGCTTAAGTCTGGTGCTGAGTTACAAAAAGAACAATTCAGTGGGTGATACAGAGGTAAAAGCAACAGTGAAGTAAGCTGCAGATAAGACTTCTGAGTAAACAGAAAGCACTTGGATGGCCAGCTTCTCTTTCTGAAACATTTCTACTATTTCTGAAACATTTCTACTGTTTCTACTGACTATGAAAGTCATACCCCTGAACTTGTTTGCAACCACAGCTCAGTTCCTTACATGGTATAAATCCTTGGAGCTACTAGGTTTCTGGAAAACCACCCCTTTTTCTTGTAGCATCCTTATTGCTTCCTTAAAAACACTGTGAATCCTTTTGGAACTGGAGTCACTTTTTGACTTCACCTGGATGGGAAGAAAGGAATGAAGCAGATGGTGAGAAATCTCAGCTCAACTAAAGTTACCAGCAAAAGCTCCAGACGCTTTCAAGAGCAAGAGGAGTTCAGGTGATTTTGTTACACATTTTTCTTCATTTAGTAATTCACAAATCATATCTGTTATGTATGAACTAACCAACATCCCTGAGCTTTAAAAACCAAACACACACAACCAGAAGTTTGTGCTATTCCTAAGGAACGACAATCTCCTAACTGCCTGCTTTGTATTTAGCAGCTGTTTGGTTATGTACTGAGAACTCTCTTTTGGAACAGGCTTGTGATGCTCTGTCCTGGTTTCGGCTGGGATAGAGTACTGAGAACCTTTTGGAACAGGCTTGTGATGCTCTGTCCTGGTTTCGGCTGGGATAGAGTTAATTTTCTTCTAACTGGCATAGTGCTGTGTTTTGGATTTAGTACCAGAATAATGTTGATAGATAACCGATGTTTTAGTTGTTGCTAAGTAGTGCTTACACCAGTCAAGGACTTTTCAGCTTCTCATGCCCTGACAGTGAGAAGCTGGGAGGGGGCACAGCCAGGACAGCTGACCCCAACTGGCCAAAGGGGTATTCCATACCATATGACGTCATGCTCAGCATATAAACTGGGGGGAGTTGGCCGGGGGGCGGTGACCACTGCTTGGGAACTGGCTGGGCATCGGTCAGCGGGTGGTGAGCAA